TTTGGATGTTAAATGTTTTTTGTATTTTGAAATATGTTTGTTGTGTGGCAAAGTTTAAGAGTTTTCTTTTGGCCAGGTCCCATCTGGGTAGAGGGACTGCATCAGACGAGCATCCCAAAGAGCAATAAGTAGGAGAGGGAGGTTCTCGGGTGCTGGTTCTCCCAGCAGGCTTTATGGGAGGCAAGGCGTCTCTGCTGGGACCCATGTTCCGAACTTCCTCTTCTAGAAGGCCTTCCTTGAACCTGGGTTGTGCCGTACAAGGTCAAGGTGTGACCCTGCTCCAGGGACCTTGTTACCGCACAGCTGTGGCAACCAAGTGCCTTTTTAAACTCTGGAAACATTCTCGTGAACCTGCTGCCTTAACTTTTTAAAAAGTTCTGTAAAAAGCACATGAAAATAATCAATATATAACGTGGGCCAACAAACTGGCACTTAACTATTAAAGTAAGTTAGAAAGGCAATGCGTTCAGTGTTCTTTTTTGGAATATCGTGTTGGTACTCTTACCCTCTAGACTGCTGTTAGTAAAATGCCTGCAGCCTTCACTGCACATGTCTTTCTGTGCTTGGGACTGGTGTGTACATGTACTTGAAAGACCTAACAATTATTATACAACAGCTTTTATGCTCACTTGGTTAAACTTTCCCCTCAGCCAAACTGGAAGGCCAAGTTGCAGCCGTGGCCTATTCCAGTGGTGGCGAACCGATGGCACGGGTGCCAGAGGTGGCACTCAGAGCCCTCTCTTTGGGCATGGGTGCCATCGCCGCAGCCAGGCCCAGACCATCATTAAAGTGCCGGATTCTCTGCCAAATGATTTTAAGTCAATGAAAGCATTTGGGATTGCTTTCCTTACTTTGTTTGGATCATCTTAAGTTAATGTATGAGTTTTTTCTATAGTAAAACGTCAGTATTCAGGTTAAATTGCCGTGTTGGCACTTTGCAATAAATAAGTGGGGTTTGGGTCGCAATTAGAGCACTCGGTCTCTAAAAGGTTTGCCATCACTGGCCTATTCAGACTAGAGTCTGTATATGTGGATCTGGTCAGCTCGAGTCCTTAAAATGTATTTTATTGGAGTGTGAAATATGGTCTCGTTTGAGAGACAGATACTTGTCCTCCGTGGGAATCTACCACCTCAAAAAACTGTCTAGTTTTTCCTTGCAGATGTTGATCAGAAACTACCCTAGCAGTCGCTAAACACTGAGATGCTGTGATTCCCTCTAAGAGGGATAGATCTCGATCTGTACAAGACCTTTGAGTAAAAAACAGTAACGTAAAGAAGACTGAGATGGCTTCTGGTGACCATTTAGTTTGTTACACTAATGGCACTATACTGACTTCAATCCCTGATGGTGCTGAATGGCTTTTGCTGTGTTTTTAAAAGTTTATCTACTAACAACTCCCAGATCTGCCATAAGAAGATCTGGAACAGTGGTAAAGAGTCTCCGGCCAATACCGGGTATATTGGTGGAATCCGTCATTTTAGATAGAATTCGTAGGCACGTTGATGAACAAAAGCTATGGAGGAAGGGGATGGAAAACAAATCAGCTAGTATCATAATGCCCCAGTATAAATCTATGGTATGGCCACATTTGCAATACTGCATACAGTTCTGGTTGGTCACTGCACCTCAAAAGACACAGTATTGGGAAAAATGCAGAAAAGGGCATCTGAAATAATTAGGGGGGTCGAACACCTTCCCTAGGAAGGAAGGTTAGAGCTGTTTAGCTTAGAAAAATGACAATTGAGGGGTGACAAGATACGAGCTTTACAAAATTATACCTTAAAATGTATTTTATTGGAGTGTGAAATATGGTCTCGTTTGAGAGACAGATACTTGTCCTCCGTGGGAATCTACCACCTCAAAAAACTGTCTAGTTTTTCCTTGCAGATGTTGATCAGAAACTACCCTAGCAGTCGCTAAACACTGAGATGCTGTGATTCCCTCTAAGAGGGATAGATCTCGATCTGTACAAGACCTTTGAGTAAAAAACAGTAACGTAAAGAAGACTGAGATGGCTTCTGGTGACCATTTAGTTTGTTACACTAATGGCACTATACTGACTTCAATCCCTGATGGTGCTGAATGGCTTTTGCTGTGTTTTTAAAAGTTTATCTACTAACAACTCCCAGATCTGCCATAAGAAGATCTGGAACAGTGGTAAAGAGTCTCCGGCCAATACCGGGTATATTGGTGGAATCCGTCATTTTAGATAGAATTCGTAGGCACGTTGATGAACAAAAGCTATGGAGGAAGGGGATTGAAAACAATTCAGCTATAGTATCATAACGCCCCAGTATAAATCTATGGTATGGCCGCATTTGGAATACTGCATCCAGTTCTGGTCACTGCACCTCAAAAGACACAGTAGTGGGAAAAATGCAGAAAAGGGCAACTGAAATGATTAGGGTGATGGAACACCTTCCCTAGGAAGGTAGGTTAGAGCTGTTTAGAGAAATGACAACTGAGGGTTGACAAGATACGAGCTTTACAAAATTATACATGGGATGAAGAAGATATAGAAAGAACTACTTGCCTCCCTTCCTCAATACACGAACTCATGGGCACTCAATGAAATTATTGAGCGGTAGGCTTAGAACAGATAAAAGGAAATATTTCTTCACCCAGAGTAAATAACAGCTGAAATTCATTGCTGCAGGAGGTAGTGGCCACAAGCATAGACCACTTCAGGAGGGGATTGGCTAAACATATGGAGCAGAGGTCCATCTGTGGCTATTGGCCACAAGGTATAGAGGGAACACTCTGCCCTGTATCCTTGGTGCTTGGGGGGCAACAGTGGGAGGGTTTCTGGAGTTCTGGCCCTGCTGGGGGATCTCCAAATGGCACCTGAGTTTGGGCCACTGTACGGCACAGTGTTGGACTAGATAGGCCACTGGCCTGATCCAACATGGTTTCTCCCATGTTCTTAACAGCAACATGAGATGATAAAAGACTTGGTGTAGCAAACACTGACCATTCTTCTGTAAATGTATGCTTGGCTGTTGGGGGATCTCCAGATGGCACCTGGGTTTTGGCCACTGTTCGACACAGTGTTGGACTAGATGGGCCACTGGCCTGATCCAATATGGTTTCTCCCATGTTCTTAACAGCAACATGAGATGATAAAATGCTTGGGTAAACCCTCCCCCCCAAATGTATGCTTGGCTGTTAATGTCTACTATTTATTCAGACTGGTCACTAAGTGAGCAAAAGTTTCAAATAGTTATCATTGACCAGATTTTTTTGGGGGGGGGGGTAGTCATGGTGGGGTGAAGGAGCAGCAGAACAAAGTTTGAGTCCAGTGGCACTTCTAAGACCAGCCAAGTCCTATGCTGGGTACCACCTTTGATGTTTGTGTGTACACAAGCGTATACCCAGAATAAAACTTGGTTGCTCTTCAAGGTGCCACTAGATTCAAACTTTTGTTCTAGTAGTTGACTAGTTCAAGTATTAAACATCTTTTCCTGCCTGAGTGGGATAAGAGCAGTGCACAAAACCCACCCTGACTCTGCAACAGGTTTGGCAATGAGTTCACCTTGTCTGCAACACTGGAATGGTAAATTTCAACTGCAGGGGTATACAACTCTTCACATATACCCTGGGATATTGGGGGATGGGGGAAGAGAATCAAGTGAAGAGATGCACACAGCTCCTCAAGAACCTTTGCCACACTCCTGCCTGCAGCTGAGACGGTGGCTTGGCTGAGTCACTTCCCTGGTTTTGACCCTCAACACAGGACCCTGCTTCCAGGAGGAGGAGAAAGATCTCTGAAGGGGTTCTCGAATGATAGTCTGGTAGGTGACTTCCTAAGCTGGTGGAGACAGTTTGACCCACTATGCTACGAAGAATGAGCTGACTGACCCTACCCAATAAAATTGGGGCACTCTTCTTGGACGGGGAGGGGACACATCGGCTTGTTTACATTTTTAAGACGACTTGCGCAGCGGCACTGGGAGATAGCCCTGTCTTGCACTGCCATATCTTTTTGGAGCTTCAGAGATCCTAGAGTGTGACCATGAGTACAATCTACCATTCACCTGCGGTTTGAATATATTTGGAATTTTTGATGATTTTTTTAAATGTTTGCAATGTTTAAGGCATGTATGGAAAGGGAGGGATATAATCTTTTCAGAAGAAGTAACGTACACCCTATAGTCCTATAAGCACAGAGCAGGAAAGAACAAAACATACAGTGTATTAATCAAAATGTACATGTAGCAGGAAACAGGAAATTAGCCTGCTGGGCACCCAGTAGCCCAGGTCAGCTGGTCCCTATGTGACCCTCTCACTGGATCGTTTTAAGGATACCGCCCTAATGGGAAATCTAGGCTGGAGTCCCATATTCTCACTTGGATACCACAGTGAGCCAGAAGATTACATAAGAACATAAGAACATAAGAGACGCCAATGTTGGATCAGGCCAAAGGCCCATCCAGTCCAACACTCTGTGTCACACAGTGGCCAGAAATACCAGTGCCATCAGGAGGTCCAGCAGTGGGGCCAGGACATTAGAAGCCCTCCCACTGTTGACCCCCCCCCAAGCACCAAGAAGACAGAGCATCACTTGCCCCAGAGCCCCTAGCTATACCTTGTGGCTAATAGCCACTGATGGACCTCTGCTCCATATGCTTATCTAATTCCCTTTTGAAGCCGTCCATGCTTGTAGCACCCACCACTTCCTGTGGCAGTGAATTCCATGTGTTAATCACTCTTTGGGTGAAGAAGTACTTCCTTTTATCCGTTCTAACCCGACCGCTCTGCAGTTTCATGGAGTGCCCACGAGTTCTTGTATTGTGAGAAAGGGAGAAAAGTACCTCTTTCTCTACCTGCTCTTTCCCATGCATAATCTTATAAACCTCGATCATGTCACCCCTCAGTCGTCTTTTCTCCAAGCTAAAGAGCCCTAAGCGCTTTAACCTTTCCTCATAGGGAAAGTGTTCCAACCCTTTTATCATTCGAGTTGCCCTTTTCTGCACTTTTTCCAAAGCTATAATATCCTTTTTAAGGTGTGGTGCCCAGAACTGCACACAGTATTCCAAATGAGGTCTCACCATTGATTTATATAGGGGCATTATTATATTGGCTGATCTGTTTTCAATACCCTTCCTAATAATCCCCAGCATAGCATTGGCCTTCTTTATTGCAGTCACACACTGTCTCGACATTTTCAGTGAGTTATCTACTACAACTCCAAGATCTCTCTCTTGCTCAGTCTCTGCCAGTTCAGACCCCATCAATGTGTATTTATATTTAGGATTTTTGGCTCCAATGTGCATCACCTTGCACTTGGCCACATTGAACCCCATTTGCCATGTTGACGCCCACTCGCCCATCCTTGACAGATCCCCTTGGAGTGCCTCACAATACTCACTGCCTCACAATCCTCACTGGTTTTCACCACCCTGAACAACTTTGTATCATCCGCAAATTTAGCCACTTCACTGCTTACTCCCATCTCCAAATCATTAATGAGATTAGGTAGAACTAGTTTCCTGAACCTGGCAATGTAACCATTACTTTCCAGATTGATACATTAGCTTCGATAGTAGAACATCTCACTTGTTATCAAATGGCAGCCGTTTTCCACACTCTTTGGCCTGGAGGACAACAATACAACAAATCCACCCCTCCTGCAGCAACAGCATGAATCAAAGGGAACTAGACTTGGCAGCGCTTAGCAAAGATGGCCAGTGTTCTACCTCGGAAGTAAAGTTCTGTACAGGACCTTTGGGGCCTTCGGGGCCCTCGGAATCAGCCTTGGTCTAGTCACACCACAGAGAGGTTCATGAGCTGGATGGGATGTTGTTCACACAGCCCCGCCCCACAAACAGAAGTCCCTGGGAATGAGGGCAGCTTAGCTGCTCTTGGGGTAGCAGAAAAGAACTGCTCCCTGCCAAGGACCCATGAAGAAGAAAACCAAAGCCACTCAGTTACCAATTCCTTGTTTTTAATGGGCGATTCACACAGACGTCCACCGGCTTGCTTTCTTCAGAGGCCCCAGTGCTTAGTTCTCGTGGCCCTTTCTTACATGCCCAGGGAAATGCCCATCACCACTTTGGAGGCAGGAGGAAGCAATTGTCTCCAGGCTAGTTTGGCCAGGGATCCTGAAGGGGTTTTTTTTGCCATCTTCTGGGCAAAAATAGGGATCAGTGGGGGTGTGGGGAGGAGGTAGTTGTGGGTTTCCTGCATTGTGCAGGAGGTTGGACTAGATGACCCCGGAGGTCCCTTCCAAGTCAATGATTCCATGTGGTTCTTAAATTAGGAAGACAAGTGTTGATCCCAAGCAGGAAGGGCAGCTTCTCCGCCCCTCCTCCCAAGAGACTGCCCTCTCCTGACAGCACGGAAAGAACAGATTTCCTTTCCAGGGAGTCAGAGCCCCCAGCCGCCTCCACCACACTTCTCTCCAGAGGCCCTACCAGAAGGCCGTTCAGGCCAAGCAGGGTCAGGTCAAGCAACCCGCCGCAATGCCTGGGTGGAGGCAGGGGCCATCATCACCTTTGCGGTCCCAACGAGTCTCTCTTGTGAGGAGTCAGCCCCGCACAGTGGACTGGCCTCTCAGTCACTGTCCGTGTCATCGCTGTGGTTCTCTTCCTTCTCCTCTGGGCCTGCGACCTCTTCTCTCAACCCTGCAAAGAAGTCCTCCCCACTGCCGAGCGCTTTCCCACTCAAGGACTTCAGCTGGCCGCTTCTCTTCTTCCTCTTCCTGTAGTCCTCCACGACCATGGAGCTGAGTGAGGAGATGTCCCAGAACTTCACCTTCTGGTCGTGGCCGCAGCTGGCCAACAAGGGGCCGGTGGGACACTTGGCCAGCTGCTCGACGGGTTCCCCCACGTGCTGCCCGACGCTGCCGATCACCCGGTTGGGCAAGATGTTCACGGCCCTGGGAGGGGGAAAGAAACGGCATCAACCGAAGGCCACTGCAGTTCAGCCCCCATTCTCCAGGAAGTTCATACGTGTGTGTGTACAGCATGGGGGAGGAATCAAGCTAGACACCCCCATTCATTCGGAAAGGCGATTGGGGGGGGGGGCTTCTGCCACTCCCACGGGGATTAGCTCACGTCAAACAAAGAGAACTTTCAACACTATGGTACGTTTCACAGCATCACCTGGGATAGGAATGCAGCCATAAAACGAGGTAAATGAACTCAGCAATTGATTTAAATGGTTGGACTTGATGCCTTCAACTCCGTTCCCCGCGCCAGAGTCAAATGTTCAGCCTGGCCTGTAGCACCAACTCTCATGTAGTGGAATTTGAAGTGGTGGAGAAGAACGCATGAATCTGCCTTAGACTGAGCCAGACCACTGATCCAACACAGTCAGTACTCAGACTGGCAGGGGCTCTCCAGGGTCTCGGGTACAGGTCTATTTGCATCACCCACTGCCTGGTCCTTTCAACTGGAGATGCCGGGGATTGAACCTGGGACCTTCTGCATGCCATAAGAACATAAGAGATGCCAATGTTGGATCAGGCTAAAGGCCCATCCAGTCCAACACTCTGTATCACACAGTGGCCAGAAATACCAGTGCCATCAGGAGGTCCACCAGTGGGGCCAGGACATTAGAAGCCCTCCCACTGTTGACCCACCCCAAGCACCAAGAAGACAGAGCATCCCTTGCCCCAGAGCCCCTATCTATACCTTGTGGCTAATAGCCACTGATGGACCTCTGCTCCATATGCTTATCTAATTCCCTTTTAAAGCCATCCATGCTTGTAGCCGCCACCACTTCCTGTGGCAGTGAATTCCATGTGTTAATCACTCGTTGGGTGAAGAAGTACTTCCTTTTATCCGTTCTAACCCGACCGCTCAGCAATTTCATGGAGTGCCCACGAGTGCCAAGCGGATGTTCTGCCACTGAGCCACGGCCAGAGAGGCAGCAGCAGCTCAGCCCGGCCGTGTGGCCGTGGGCAGTCTGTGGCCAGCTGCCCAGCCTGTGCTCTGGGTGGCAGCCCCTGCCACCGCCCCTCCCCACGGATGCCTTTTCCAGGCCAGTTTGGCCTACCTTGCCAGGGGGCAGGATGAATGGCAGCTATACTGAGAGGAAGGGGGCAGGGGATGGGACGGTGGGTCTCGGAGCCCTCCTGGGCTCTCTTCCGTGACCCGCTCAGCAAATGGACCCGTTCTCACCTGATGACTCCGTCGGTGGAGCCTGTGCACACCACGCTGTCTGTGACGGGGACCAGGCAGTCGACGGACTCCGCTTTCAAGGCAAAACGGTCACTGGCAGCACCTAAGCCACCCCAGTTGAAGAGGTAGAGGGTCCCCTCGCTGGAGCCGCAGACCACTTTCCTTCCTCTCTGAGCCAGAAGACAAGGCAGAAGTGTCAAGAAGAGACGAACGGCCCAGCCGGGGACTGAACCTGGGACCTTCTGCATGCCAAACGGATGTTCTGCCACTGAGCCTCTGTGCCTTTTAGTCTCGTCTAAAGCAAGCCAGCATTTGCAGGCACGTTTTATTGCAGGAGAACACAACAGGGTCTCTCCGATCCCACCCCCCCGGAGAAGAATGTGGCCGGGCCGGAGACCAGCCTTCTTCTTTGGGACCCCTAAGCAGCAGACTGACCTTCACCAAAGAGATGGCCGTCAGGTCTCCGTTCTGAGGCTCAGAGAGCAGCTCAAAGCGCCGCCTTCGGATGTTGAAGACCCCCAGGGTCCCGTCACCACTGCAAGGGAAAGAAAGGCACGGAACACGATCACCCCCGGCTCTTGCAAACGTTCCGGAATGTTTCCGTTCTAGGTACATCCCTCCATTTGCGGAAAACAGGACGGCCCTTGGGACGCAGAGAGAACGAGGCCGGAAGGGGCTGCGGCTCTCACGGCGCTTTGCCTTCAGAGGAAGGCACAGTGTTAGGTAGTCTTAATTTTAAAGTAAATCAGCAGAGTATTAAAGAGGCAGAGTCCATGGTGTGTTTAAAATATAAACGTTTACTACAACCTAGCATGGGGAAAAGGTACACGGGATGTAAAATAACAAAGAGCTAATATTCCTACATCCTTACAGCTAGACTGAAAAATGGCAGAAGCGAGACGAAGACTAACTTCTTCTTCTTGCTCAGAACAAAGAACCATAAAATGCTAATACTTGGCACTCTGGTCTCCAATCAGAACAAACAACTAGATCTGAAGTTACCGGGCTTTCTGACTCTCTAAACAGATTGGTTACAAACAAACATGTGACTTAACAAACATCATTAACCCAGTAAATACTGAAAAAGGTGTTTTAACTTGTAACACCCAACACACAGTCAAAGCCCCACCCCTCCGCGGGGCCCAAAGCGGAACGCGGCCATACCTGGCTGTCAGCAGCAGCTTCTTGTTCCCGTCCAGGGCCATGTCGCTGATGTACTCCTCGTGCTGCTTCATCTCCATAATGGAGGTGCCCTTGCGCAGGTCCCACACTTTCAGCTCCCCACTGTCGTCCCCCGTGGCAAACAGATGCTCATCGATCAGCAGCAGGCTGTTCAATGCAGAGCTGTGGAAAGCCCAACAGACCTAGCAGCAAAGCCAGCGCTAGCCGAGTCACTCCAGTGTGTGTGTGTTTGTGTGTGTGTTCGTTCTGGCACCCCTGGGCGATGCTGCAGGCCCAACTCCGCCAGCACCCCCAAGCCCAAGGGGGTACAAAGGAAAGGGACACGGGGAACAGCCCCAAACGCTTACCTGTGCGCCTTGGGAAAGCGTGTCACCAGACGGCCCTCCTCCACGTTCAGGATATGAATGCATTTGTCCTTGGATACTGTGAAAAGCTCTGGAAAACATGGACGGGGGGAGAGAGGTCTCGGTCGGGAGTGCTCGCGTGCATCTTGCAGAACTGGCAGGACCGGAAGGCATCCTCCCAGCTAGCTCTCCCAGACTGCGCAGCTCCTACCAGTTCTTAACATCTGTGACACAGTGGGTGTGTTCAGACGGGGCATTTGCAACGGTATAGGTGCCGGTTGGAATAGGTGTACTTACCGGCGTTCACACGGCAAACATCTGCCTTCCGTCCCTAACCATTGCAAAGAGCTTTACACCGTTGTATTCTGCCACTAGGTCCCCAAGTGGTGGTATCCGTGGTGCAACGGTTGTAATCCCTTTCCCCCCCCCCCCATCTGATCGCTCTCCAACGTTGTAGAGCCACTTCCGTTCGGAAGCCCGAGGCTTCCAATTTTCGCCCGCCATTTTTTTTTTAGGTCGGCGATCTGCGCTTGGGCGCAGCTTCGCCCTGGTGTGTTTTTTTTAAAAAAAGAAAAGGTCCTTAGTTTAACTTTTAGAGGAGTCCGGGACCTCAGGGAGGCCACTTTGCTCTTTAAACTTTAAAGGTAAGTCCTTACCTTTAAACCTTAAATGTTAAACCTTAAATTTTGCGCATGCGTGAAGATCGCCATTCTGCGGATGGCTGCCTATGCGCATGCGCAAACCGTGTTTAAAAAAAAAAACAACCGCCGATGCCCGCTGTGTGTGAACGGGCATACAGCGATGGGCTCCGCAGACAGGAGGTAAGTGTGATCGCGTTTCAGCCGGCATAAACTGCACCGGTTCCAACCGGTACAGTTTATGCCGGCTGAAACGCCCCGTCTGAACGTACCCAGAGAGCGAAACAACCTTGGTCTGCCTGGAGTTGTGGCCAAAGAGGGCTCCTTAGGAGCTGTGAAGCTAGAAGGCACCTGGCAGAATTGCTGCTGCGTCTGCAGCAAAGGCAAAGCCACCCTGACGGAGGAGCCTCTCCCTGCTGTTCAGGTTTTCACATCTCGTTTGCCAAGGCTCAGCGCAGCCACCAGCTCAACCCTCCACGCTTGCCTTTTCTCCACTGGCCTGCGGGGAGTCGCAGGAGCCCCTCTCAGGCCCTCGGGACACTGAAAGGGCTGGGTGCTGACTCCAGCTGAGGACCCGACAGGCCTACCTGACGTCCAGAGAATCGGCCTCAAGGAGAACTGCTAGGAATCCCAGGTGTTATATGGCCAGAAAGGATGAGTGACGTCCAGAGAAGCGGCCTCAAGGAGAACTGCTAGGAATCCCAGGTGTTATATGGCCAGAAAGGATGAGTAACATCACCGTGGGGTAGGCTTTCTGATTGGCAGGCGGCAGACAATTGGATTTCTAGGGGTTAAGGGGGCCGAGAACGTTGAGTGGGGCTACATTTCCTTTCCTCACCCAAGAAACGCCCGGGATACACAAGGGATTCACACAAAGATTTGCTGCAGATCAGAAGGGATTCCAGCAGTCCAGATAGTGATTAGAGCAAGTCCTCGTCGTGAGCCTATGGTGTACTGCCGTGCTCAGCCATTTGCAATACAAGAATACTGATCTATGTTACAAGCAGTGTTCCCTCTAAGCTGAGTTAGTGTGAGCTGGCTCACAGTTTTTTAGCCTCCGGCTCGCACATTTTTGCCTCAGCTCAGGGAGGATGGCTCCAGAGCAAACGAATTTATGCAGTAGCAAAATTGCTCACTCACAACTTTAAGGCCAGTAGCTCACAAAGTAGAATTTTTGCTCACAAGACTCCACAGCTTAGAGGGAGCACTGGTTACGAGCAGGGATCGTTTCGTAGAAAAAGAGGTAGGGGAACTCATTAGCATAACTCATTAGCATATGCCACACACCCTGACATCACCGGAAGTGTGTCATAAGGCCACACCCCCTGACATCACCGGATGTGTGTCATAAGGCCACACCCACCACTCAGTTAGTCTTAGTCTTAAAGGTTAGTCTTAAAGGTGCTATTTGTTAGTCTTAAAGGTGCTATTTGAACTCTTGGACTATTTTGCAGCAACAGACTAACACAGCTACCTCGGGGAAGCTCCTGGATGGGGCTGGGAGTCCTTGCGGAGGCCACGTGGAGTGGCCTCGGCCAGGCAGAGGGGGAGGACGCCAACTTACCCTCCTGCTTCTTCCTCCTTCTGCAACAGAATGAGGCTGGAAGAAGGGGGCGGCCGGAAGAAGGGGCGGGGCTTCGTGTGCCCCGCCCCCTGCACCTCACACGGGGGGAACTGCGATCCCCCCCGAAATGACCTCTGGTTACGAGGAAACAATGCAAATACTGTATGCTTAAATGCATCCCTCTGGGCTAGTCACTCTCCCACCGTCTAACGTACCTCAAGGGGTTGTTGTGAGGCTAAGAAGAGGAGGGGGCAGCTACATATATGCCACTGGCAGCCCCTTGGAGGAACTGGGCAGGATAAAAATGCCAAGTATTATTACTGATTATGAGTGCAAGTTGTATTTGATCTAATCATTCAAGAACATTTACGTATAGGATATGATGAGAGTAAAGCACCTGGATTCCATATACTCTGCCACACTTGCCCTGACCTGGAAAGCCCAGCTAGCCTCATCTCATCAGCCAGTTTAGTGTCGTGGTTTTGGTGTAGAGAGCCAGTTTGGTGTCGTGGTGAAGTGCGGGGACTCTAATCTGGGAGAACCGGGTTTGATTCCCCCACTCCTCCACTTGCACCTGGCTGGATGACCTTAGGCAAGCTGTAGTTCTGATAAGAGCTGTCCTTGAAAAAGAGCAGTTTCTGTCAAGAGCTCTCTCAGCCCCACCTACCTCACAGGGTGTCTGTTGTGAGGAGGGGAAGGGAAAGGAGTTTGTAAACCGCTCTGAGACACCTCTGAGACAGAGAAGGGCGGGGTATAAATCCAATCTCTTCTTCTTCTTCTTCTTCTTGTTTTTTTATAAGTGTGCGGACTCTAATCCAATTTGGTGTAGTGGTTAAGAGCCAGTTTGGTGTAGTGGTTAAGTGCGCAGACTCTAATCTGGGAGAACCCGGTTTGATTCCCCACCTCCACTTGCACCTGCTGGTGTGACCTTGGGTCAGTCACAAGCTGTGGCACAGCTGTCCTTGAAAAAGAGCAGTTTGTGTCGGAGTTCTCTCAGCCCCACCCACCTCACAGGGTGTCTGTTGTGGGGAGGGGAAGGGAAAAGGAGTTTGTAAGCCGCTCTGAGACTCCAAGTGAAGGGTGGGGTATAAATCCCATCTCTTCTTCTTCTTGCTTCTCATCTCCGTTTCAAAGCTGAAGAGCCAGCGCTCTCCGAAGACGTTTCCGTGGTCATGTAGCCGGCATGACTAAACACCGAGGCGCACGGAACGCTGTTACCTTCCCACCGAACCACTGACCTTCCACAGCCTGCAGTTCAGCGTCTTAACCACTTGAGCCACCGCAGCCATGTCTTTAAACATCCAAGCAGTACAGCTCAAGAGGTATATCCAGCTGATTTCTGACCCGTTTCCCCCCCTGGTATTCTTTTTCATGTGATTCCACTGGAAATGCCATATGTGAAGAGGGGCTGTGGCTCCCCCATGACAAAGTGTTGCTCAGCAGGCATGAGGTGCCCGGCTCAGTGCCCTGGCGTCTCTAGTCAACAGGCTCAGGTACTTGGGGGTGATGTGAATGACCTATACCTGAGATCCTGGGGGGCCTGCTGCCAGTCTGACCCTGATGGACAAAGGTTCTGCTTCAGTAGAAGGCAGCTTCATCTGCCCATCAAGCCTATTCAGAGTTCTGCCTGGCGCTTTTTTGCCCTATGTGAGTTTCAACCACCCAGAAGTGGTTACTGGAAGCTCCTCTGTCACCACAAAGCCATTAACAAGCCCGGAGGAGAGAAACACTCACTGTGTCCATCCTGAGAAAAGGACACTTCCCGGCAGGATTTCAGATGATGCCCGGAGGACCAAAGCTCTTGGTTTCCACCTTCCAGACAGGAAAACGAATACCTGAAATTCAAAAGGACGGTAGGGGGAAGAGAGGTGTAAAGTAATTGGGTGGGAGACCCTTCACGCTGAGGCAGAAAACCTGTCAAAAAGCCACAGGAAGCATCAGACCCAAAGAGGGCTGGGCAAAGAAGTGGGAATACAGTGGGAAGGACCTTTGAGCCTGAGATGCCTAATGACGCTCCTTTCCTTTCCATTCCTCTGGTTCAATAAAGTATGGGACCATTTCATCATGGAAGAAATTACACATCACATCCAACAGTCAGAATTGTACCCTAAAAGGTCCAATTTTATGGAAAAATGGTCCCCATTTCTTGAATATGTTATGGTGACAGACTGCCAACCACACAATCCAACGTATCTAAACATACCGCACTCTTAACTCACATTAGATGCTCTTGTTTGCATCATACCTCTAACATATCACCTGTAGAGGGAGTAATACCCACATAGACATAATAGCTGCTATTGTAGATCGACATCTATGACTTACTGCCTCAGTCTAGCCCACTCATCACCTTCACGCACGGCAATATAGACCCAGGTCCTGCTTATTTAATGTATTTTACCTTATCATTCTTTGTTCTGATTTCTTGAAAGTACTCTTTGTTCTGTAATACTTGTTATTGGCATATGGAACTGCACAATGGTTCGAAACTGTTTTAACATTTTCATCAATAATTTTTTTTAAAAAAAAGGTATTTTGAGCAATCATGTATCCTCCTCTGATAAATATCACCTTCAAGATTTCATGCCCAAACAATAAAAAATTTAGCAACAGTGGTGGTAAAATTTGGAGATCTATCAGATAAAAGGAGCGAGAGTATCTCACAGTGAGGTAAGAAGGAAATGCTGTCCAAACAATTCCTAGCAGTCGCATACAAGGGGCATCCCAATTAAATTTGCACCAGTGTACCAACCTTCCCTAACAACAGTCACACAAACGCTCCAAAAAAGCGGTCTTCATTAATCTGCCACTCATAACGGGTGGACTCACATTTAACCGAATAAATAAAGAAGAAAAAGAGAAGAGTTTGGATTTATACCCCACCCTTCACTACCCAAAGGTGTCTCAGAGCGGCTTACAAACTCCTTTCCCCTCCCCACAACAGACACCCTGAGAGGGAGGTGGGGCTGAGAGAGCTCTTGACAGAAACGGCTCTTTTTCAAAAACAGCTCTTATCAGAACTACGGCTTGCCCAAGGTCATCCAGACAGGTGCAAGTGGAGGAGTGGGGAATCAAACCCGGTTCTCCCAGATTAGAGTCCGTGCACTTAACCACTACATAATTTGTGACGGACAAACGGAAGGTCTAAGAAGGCAGTGATCTAGGCGGGGTTTTAAAAAAAAAATAAAATAAAGAAGAACAAACCATGTCAGCACGGAACCGTATCCAAAAAATCCATCCTAATAATACGCCATGAACGGGAGAGGTGAGGACAGGGGTTTGTAGAATAATGTCTTGAAAGACTCCCAAAGGCAGAAGAATGGATTAAAAAACTGCTTTTTATGGCAGAAATGGACAAAATGACAAGAAAACTGAAAGATTTGGAGGCGGAAGAATTTTTTGCGGACTGGAAGGATTTTAAGGACTATTTAGAGAAGCATTGGGATGTGAAGGACAATTTGATTTGCTTTGAAAATTATTAAGTGGATGTAAAAGAGAAAAGAAATGGACTTATAATGATAAATATGTGAACATTTGTTACCTATAGTTATATGATAAAAGATTAGAGACATGTTAGAATTTAAGATTTGAGCTGGTGGTGGGAACGCTGTTGGAAGCCTGTGAAAGGGGGGGGGGAGTAAGATGAAACGGATATATATTGAAGTTGATATGTGAATGTGTACTATCCTAATAAAAGTTGTTTAAGGGCTCTTTTCGTAGCAGGAACTCCTTTGCATACTAGGCCACACCCCCTAATGTAGCCAATCCTCCAAGAGCTTACAGAGCTCTTCTTACAGAAGTTACTGTAAGCTCTTGGAGGATTGGCTACATTAGGGGTGTGTTGCTTAATATGCAAATGGGTACCTGCTACAAAAAGAGCCCATGAAAGCCACTGCCTTGAGGGCTCCCAGAGGCCTCTGTGCTGGCCAAGGCTGGAAACAGAATTCTGGACTGGAGATGAACCCTGGGCTTGATCCCTCCTGGCTGCTCTGCTTTTAGTCAGAACCAGAACCTTGCCAGTGGAAAGAAGCTTACACTTGCAACGTTTACTTCACGTATTTCCCTCTGGCTGCAGAGCTTTAACTGCAGGTTTTTTTATTCAGCAACTGGGGTGACAGGACCTCCCCACATAACTGCTCCCTTAGTCCTGGAATATATTCAACAAATCACCACATTAAAACAGACTACTACCCGGTTGCAGGAGAAGTCGGAAGAGATAGACCAAAGATTTCAAATTAAGGAAGCCAAAACATGATCTTCTAGAAGACTCTTTAATTAGGCTAGAATTGGACAAAGCTGCTTATATGCTGAGGTTCCAGAACATCCCAGAAGACAAAGCTGAAGATGTAAAAGAAAAAAATGACTAAAATATTGGCAACATACTTGGAAGAAGAGAATACTCAGGATATCTCTGATAAACGAGGCCTAAAGAATGAAGGATGGCTGAGGTTTTGGTGGCAGGGGAGGGGAGAAGGGGATGCATGCCCACCTAAGGAATGCCCTTAGTAGCATTCCTTGTTTTGGAAATCTGAAGCTGCCCGCTGAGAAGAGGTCCCCCTGCCCCCGCCGCTGCCCCTCCATATCCCCCAGGCCAAAGACTCAGCCTTTTGTGCAGCCCATACTTTCCCCTCCAGAGCAGCCATACTTACACGTAGACATCACCATCCACATCTCCAGCAGCTATGATATCCCGGCTAGGGTGAAAGGCAATGGTGTTCGCTGCTGCGTCTAGGGAAATGTCATCGGGGGTGTCTCGAAGGCTCGGTTCATGTCCTGCTTCCTCCTCATCTAAATGTGGCTGGGGGGGGCAAGGGAAAAAAATCAACCCCCTGAAAGGGCCCGACCCACCCATCCCTACCCTCCTTCAGAAATCACCAGCCCAGCACCACTTGATAGAGCCGTTTGTATGGCTCACTCTAGCACATGTGTTCCTTATAACATAAAAAAAACCCCAGATGCTGGAAACCCACTCCAAAGCATTTTTTAATTCCGGGTGAGGGACCAAAATACTTAATGACCTGCATCATGACTCCAACAGCCCTTCCTGATTTGCATGCCTGAATCGGCCAGCAGACCTGGACCCCAATCATTTATCACGAGTCAGGCACACAGGTGGAGTCAGTCCACGCCACCCATCAAACAGCAGAAGAGCCCCACAGATAGGCAAGAATGCATAGGCCGGCCAGCCAGAGATCGCAAATACTGTTGCCTTCTGAGACCCTCCTGGAGCGACCCCTCAAAGGCTTTTGCTCTACTGTGTGAATGTGCAGCTTTTATGCGCCTGTGGCAGCTTTGCACAGCCCTTCAAATCTGGTCTAGTTCTTCATATTTTAGTAATCTGCTTTCAACTAATGAGTTAAGTACTATGAGTTAGAGAGTGTGTATTAATGCAGATTCTTCTTCTGAGGAGCAGGGCCACAGGCCACAAAACCTCTGTTGGAATAAAGTCTGGTTAGCTCTTGAAGGTGCTACAAGACTATCCATTTGGGTTGCTTCAAACTAACACGGATATCCCCAAAGAGCTGGTTGCAAAAGAGTGGCACCAACAGCAGCCTCTACGCCAACAAAGTTAGCCTGAGAGAGGGGGGGGGGGAGACATGCATTGCCAGCCTGCCCCACGAAACTAGGACCGGCAAATAACAAGACACATTAGCATTTCTCTCCACCGACCAGCATATTTCTTCCCTTCCTCATCCCCCCCCCCTCCAAGCGCCCACATCTAGATCCCACAGGCGTTCCAAACACCTACTGCACTCAGAGCCTTTTTTTAACATTTCCAGAAGGGTGAGGCTTCGGGTTCCCACCTCCAGGGGGTGCCTGGAGATCTCCTGGGATTCGAAGAGAGGTCGGTTCTCCTGGAGAAAGTGGCCACCGTGGAAGCTGGCCTCGATGGCATTCTGCTTTGCAGAGGCCCCTCCCACCACCCTCCCTAGGCTCCACCCCCACACCCCCAAGAACTTTCCCGCCCAGAGGTGGCAACAGTGCCAGCCGGGGCTCTCGAGAAGGATCTGCACTCCTGAGGAGGGGGTGAGGATGGGGGGGATTTAAAAGGCTCCTCCCCGGAGTGCCGCTCAAACCCAGCACGGACGTTTGAGCAGCCCAACGGCTCGGGGGTGGCGAAGGGGAGACTCCCCGCAGAGGCCTCCAGAAAGGCCGCTCTGGACACGTGTCTGCCCCCAGGGCCGGAGGAGCGCAACGTCCAGCGACGACTGCTAGGCCCCAGTGGTGCGGTCCAGTGTTCCCTCTAAGCTGAGTTTGCGTGAGCTAGCCCACAGTTCTTTAGCCTCCGACTCACAGTCACTTCCCCATTGTATGTGTGTGGCCTTAGGTAGGAATCCTATCCAAAAATGTATAATGTAAACCGCTCAGAGCCCTTAGGGGGTGAGCGGTATATAAATCGAAGGAAATAAATAAATAAATAAATAAATTTTTGTCTTCGCTCGGGAAGGAGGGGCTCCAGAGCAAACTAATTTATGCAGCAGCCCAATCGCTAGCTCACAACTTTAATAATGCCAGTGGCTCACAAAGTAGAATTTTTGCTCACGAGATTCCACAGCTTAGAGGGAACATTGGTGCGGTCCTCCCTCCTCTAAGCGCTTCGGTTCAACTCAGCCGACGACTGACTGTCTGCCTGCTCGGGGTGGAGCCCCTGCGCTGGGGAAGGAAAAGGGCGCCCGAGGAGGTGGAGGGCGGCGGAGAAGGGGCCGCATGCCGTCAGGCACTCGGGATCCCCGTCCTCGGCGTTCCCTCTCGCGGCAAGGCAGCCGAACAAAAGCGCCCTCCTCCCTGGAGGGGCGAAAGGAGGCACAAAGTGGCCGCCCGAAGGCCAGGCGAGGAAACGAGAAGAGGCTCGGGTTGCTAGGAGACGGCCCGGGGAACCCACCTGCACGGGCGCCGCCATCTTGGTCCAGAGGCGCCTGCGCGCTACAAGGAGCATGACGTGGGAAGAGAACCACGCAAAGGAAGCTCATTGGGTGGAAGCACTGTCCTGTCGTCGGCATAGTCCCGCCCCGGCATAGTGGACTCTTGTCTTGTCCAACGAGAAGTCGCCTCCGGGTCAGCTTAGCCTAGCGGTTCCTTCGAAACAGATTGTTTCTGCCGCAATCAGTTCATGGTTCCCGTCCCGCAGGCGCTGCCTGGCCTTTTGGTCTCTGCAGTGTTCCCTCTAAGCTGAGTTAGTGTGAGCTAGCTCACAGTTCTTTAGCCTCCGGCTCACACATTTTTGTCTTAGCTCGGGAAGGAGGGCTCCAGAGCAGACTAATTTATGCAGCAGCCAAATCTCCCGCTCACAACTTTAATGCCAATAGCTCACAAAGTAGAATTTTTGCTCACAGGGCTCCATAGCTTAGAGGGAACACTGCTGATGAGGGTCTACTTTTTCTCACACACTCCGGTCCGCGCAGCGAGGTCAGCAGAGTCCGAGTCGTTTCCCAGCTAGTGAGGCTGGATGTGTTTGATTGATCCTGGGATCTGCCAGGGGGTCTCCACCAATGCTCCCTCTAGGCTGTGGAGTCTTGTGAGCAAAAAGTCTACTTTGTGAGCTACTGGCATTAAAGTTGTCAGCGAGCCATTTGGCGGCTGCATAAGTTAGTTTGCTCTGGAGCCGTCCTTCCTGAGCTGAGACAAAAAGGTGTGAGCCGGAGGCTAAAAAAATGTGAGCTAGCTCACACTAACTCAGCTTAGAGGGAACAGTGGTCTCCACCAATGCTCCCTCTAAGCTGTGGAGTCTTGTGAGCAAAAAGTCTACTTTATGAGCTCCTGGCATTAAAGTTGTGAGCAAGCAATTTGGCTCCTGCATAAATCAGTTTGCCCTGGAGCCGTCCTTCCTGAGCTAAGACAAAAATGTGTGAGCCGGAGGCTAAAAAACTGTGAGCTGGCTCACACTAACTCAGCTTAGAGGGAACACTGGTCTCCACAAGAAAGCTCCCCCGTCAGTCAATCAGATGCGTTCAGTCTCTCTTTGCAAACTACCCGGACTCTGCCACCACCTGGTGACTCTGCCAGCCTCGCTCTGCGGATCCCTCCTTTGGGAACATCATGGCTGTCCTGGATGGTCTCTGCCAGTGTTCCCTCTAAGGTGAGTTAGTGTGAGCTAGCTCACCATTTTTTAGCCTCCAGCTCACAGATTTTTGACTCAGCTCAGGAAAGATGGCTCCAGAGCAAACTAATGTAGGCAGTACCCAAATGGCTCGCTCACAACTTTAATGCCAGGAGCTCACAAGGTAGAATTTTTGCTCACAGGACTCACAGCTTAGAGGGAACATTGGTCTCTGCGCTGCTTTGATTGGGTTCAGGACAGAAGGAGTGGGACCCGGCAGTCTGGAATCCGGGACGGCCAAGCCGGTGGGTTGGAGAGCAATGCTCCCTCGGAGCTCTGGAGTCTTGTGAGCAAAAATCCTACTTGGTGAGCTCCTCCTGGCATTAAAGTTGTGAGTGAGCCATTTGGCTGCTGCATACATTCGTTTGCTCTGGAGCCCTCCTTCCTGAGCCAAGACAAAAATGTATGAGTCGGAGGCTAAAAAAATGTGAGCTCGCTCACACTAACTCATCTTGGAGGGAAACACTGTTCCAGGCACTGTTCCCTCTAAGCGGTGTTAGCGTGAGCTGGCTCACAGTTCTTTACCCTCGGCTCACACAGGAGGGCTCCAAAGCAAACTGATTTATGCAGCAGCCAAATCGTTGTGAGCGAGCCATTTGGCTGCTGCATACATTAGTTTGCTCTGGAGCCATCCTTCCTGAGCTAAGACAAAAATGTATGAGTCGGAGGCTAAAAAACTGTGAGCTCGCTCACACTAACTCAGCTTAGAGGGAACACTCGTCCAGGCACTGTTCCCTCTAAACTGGGTTAGCGTGAGCCGGCTCACAGTTTTTTAGCCTCCGGCTCACACATGTTTGTCTTGGCTCGGGAAGGCTGGGGCTCCAGAGCTGATTTATGCAGCAGCCAAATCGTTCGCTCGCAACTTTAATCCTAGTGGCTCACAAAGATCTTTGCTCACGGGACTTCACGGCTTAGAGGGAGCATCGGAGCCGTTTCTGGGTGCCCAGCTGCGGCGGCCTCCTGCGCCCGTCGTCTCTTGCATGACGTCTGCGAAGGCGGGCAGCCCCAATGAGAGACCCGGCCGGGGGTCCTGGTGGAGTCCGGCCACTTTGCAAAGTGGGAAGGGACGTATTGGAAGACCTTTCTTCTTGAGGATACCCCCGGCAGACTGCGGGCAAGAGCGAGGGGCGGCAGGACACGGGGCTGGGATTAGGAGAGGGGAGAGCGACGTGAGCGCGGGGGGGGCAAGATGTGCTCTGGGAGGGGGCCTCTTAGCCTTGGAATAAACTGGGGGGGCGGCCCTGTAACCCGGGGAGGTGTCTGCTGGAGCCAGCTCTCGAAAGGTGTCCAAGTTCCCCAAGGGACTCCCTCTCGGTTCTGGCGGCAGGGACCACGTCGCCCGCTCGCCTTGGCTGCCAAACAAGAATGTATTGCTTATTTATTTAAGTTTGGTTTTTAAAGCGCCCTTCCCTGACCAACAGGGCTCCGGGCGGTGTACATCGGTATAAAACAGAGACAGCATAAAATCATACATAAAATCCATACTATAAATACAGCGGTAATAACCAGTTCAGCAGTTCGAGACCGGAGTGTGCCGCGTGACGGAGTGAGCTCCCGTCTCCGGTCCCAGCTCCTGCCAACCTAGCAGCTCGAAAGCAAGAAATTGCAAGGAGATAAATAGGGACCCCTTCGGGGGGAAGGTCACAGCGTTCCGTGCGCCTCGGCGTTTAGTCATGCTGGCCACATGACCGTCTTCGGACAGCGCTGGCTCTTCGGCTTGGAAACGGAGATGAGCACCGCAACCCTAGAGTCGGACTCGACTGGCTTTCGAGCAAGGGAGACCTTTACCTTTAATAACCAGGGAGGCGCGGATGGAAGTACCAAAAATATGCCACTGCATGGGGGGCGGGGGGGGCGGGAAAGACCTGCCTGCCCGCCTGGTACTGCCCTGACCTGCATAGCCCAGGCCATCCCGATCTCATCAGCTATGGGAAGCAGCCCCGTAGCTAGGGAAGTCTTTGGGAGGGGGCCTGCCAGCTAATTAAATGAAATAACAGTGCAGGTGGTAAGTTGGAGCACTTTGGGGACAGGCCAGGAGGGAGGGGGCCCAGAGAAAACACTAGGGGGCCAGGCCCCGTGGGCCCCATGTTAGCTACAGGCCAGATGGGAAGCGAAGCAGGGTCAACTCCGGCAAGTATTTGCATGGGAGACGATCTCCTTGCCGTACCAGCAGTCGGGAGTCGGAGACAGGGGCAGACTTCATTCAGTCACCTCTCTCTCTGAACATTCTCCAAGTGCTCAGTAGGGGTCAGCCGCCAGAGGTCGCCCTAGTAAAGTAGACTCTTATAACCTCCAACACGAATGAGCTCTCGGGTCAGTTTAGCCAAGCGGTTCCTTCGTCTCCAGAACTACAATCTGAACAATCATTCCTTGGTTCGAGTCCCGCAGGCGCTGCCTGGCCTTTTGGCCTCTCTGACAGAATGTTTTTTCCGCACTCAGGAACCTTTACTTTACCTTACGCTCTGCTGATAAAAACCTGCTGGTAACATCCCTGCCCTGTGGGACTTAATCCAGTTCTGCTGGGCATTGGAAGCCAGAGAGATTGGAAGGCAGAGAGTTCTGCCAGGCGGGTATTTGTGTGTGTGTGTGTTTTGTTTGTTAAATTCTTTTTATTAATTTTTTCATAAACAGATTTCAGTAACATTACTATGAACAGATTCAATAACTTTGTATACAATTTATCATGTAGAGTTGTGGATATAGCTTTCATATATAGACAATAACGACACATAAAAACAAATTAACATTAACTGCAGGCATGTTAACAAGCGTGTGTGTGTTTTTAACGTGCCTGTGCACCTGGAAGTCACGGCGATCTCTGGTGACTGGCCCCTACTGGTGGCAAGGAGGATCTATGCAGAGAGGTGGCTGAGTAAAGCCTGCCCCCACCTCCCGACTGCTGGTATTCCAAGGAGGTCTCCCATCCAAGGACTTGCCCCAGTCGACCCTGCTTAGCTTTTGAGATCTGGCTGGCCTGGTCAGAACTGTGACGTCCCCGTCCCCCCGCCGGCAGTGGCATATTTGTGGCACTTCAACAAGCATCGGTGTCTTCCCCCCGGCGTGTTCTTCCGGGCACCCAGAAACGGCTCTCGAAACCACCGCCTTGCCTGGGGATCTACTAAAAGGAAGGACAGGATTGCCCATTGGAAACAAGGGGAGATGCTGGAAGGCCCATTGGAAATCATGGGAGCCAGGAATGCAAACGGCTCTCGAAACCACCGCCTTGCCTGGGGATCTACTAAAAGGAAGGACAGGATTGCCCATTGGAAACAAGGGGAGATGCTGGAAGGCCCATTGGA